CACATAAAAACATTTTTGTTCCAGGTGCCAACGTTCCCAGACAAAAGACTTTTTATTTCTGACTCCTGTATATTTAGGTGTGGCCGTGAGACTAACTTATGGCCAATGAGTTATAAGCAGATGTGTTGAGTATGGAACTTTTAAGAAAGGAGTGAATTCTGCTGAGATATCCTATGTCCTTTTCTCCCTCACTCCCTCTTGCTATGTGAAAAAAGGCTGGGCTGCAGCTTGCACCCTGAAATAACCTAGAAGATAGAAACTGAAAAAGAAAGGAGAAGCTTGAGTCCTTGAATGCGAAGCCACTGTGCCGTCAGGACTGCCTACTTCTGCACTACTGTATGGGAAAGAGAGAATATTAAGTGCATCATTTAACCCAGTTATTTTGATCTTCTATACTAGGGTCAGCAAACTTTTTGTAAAGGATCAGACAGTAAATGTGTCAAGTTTTGTGGGTTGTATGGTCTCTGCTACAACCACTCAACTGTGCCACTGTAGCATGAAAGCAGCCATAGACCATGTAAAAATAAATGACCATGGTCATGTTCAAGGAAAATTTATTCACAAAAAAAAGGTGGCAGGCAGATCTGGTCTGTGGGCTATAGCCTGCCAACCCTTGTTTTATAGTATATGTGTTGCCAATTCCAACCCTTATACAAAGAAGGTTACTACTCCCCAGTCTCTTTGGTTATTATTTCTAACCCTTACCCATCACTCACTGTCTTAGCCTTTCTCTCAAAAGACTAAAAGCTTAGCTTTCAGAATACCATGTGCAGTTTTTCAGACACTCTACAATTTTAAATTCTAAAACTTAATTTAAAATTCTTCTTTGGGCCCATGAGAGTATTAAGGATAGAACTAGATGACATCTGAATCAAATCACTTTTCTTAAGAGGCCAAGGACTAGCACCAGGGAATCCACACAACAGCTCCCCAAGAGTCTAGAGAGTGTCAGCTTTGCATTATTTCAGTTAAAAATCTTTTTGCCGACCATTTACTATCTACCTAGCCCTAGAGACAAAGTACCCTCATAGGCCTCACAGGAAAGGAAACTAGATATTTAAATAATGTAAATAAATGTATTATTTGCAAATGTAAATAAATGTATTATTTGCAAATTGTGTTAATATATGAGAACGTATTTTGTTAGGAGAAACAGGGAAATTATCTTTTATGATTTAACATCTAGGTATGATGAGTAGGATGACAGGAATTTAATCCACCAAAGTTAGAAAAAGAAAGAACATTCTGAGAAGAACAACAGGACCAATCACCATGATGTGGGAAAGAGAGCTTTTTCTTTGTTTTCTGTATTTTTTTTTTTGAGATGGCGTCTCACTGTGTTGCCCAGCCTGCTCTCCGACCTCAGGCTCCCAAGTACTTGGAAATACAGGCATGTGTACAACACCTGGCTAAGATTACTCTTTACTGCTCAATTCCAATAAAATCAGCCCTCTCCACTGTATAGGAAACATAGTTGAGTAGTGTTCATTTCCTCCACTTACAACCCTTTGCTGTTTCAACTGCTTGTGGCCATCAGGGAAGATGGACTCCCTAGCCACCATGTCCCTTAGCACAGAGGATTCAAGGTGATAATGATGTGCTATGAAAAAAAGCCTTACTGGCCTTGAGAGTAATAAAACAAAACAACAAACACTCATACATACAGCTGCCCATCCTTCCGGGTATAAAAGCTGACCGATTTGATGGTAGCCACAACTACCACCATGCAGAGAGTCACAGGGACAAAGAGCATGATCACATGCTTGGCACCATATTTCAACGTCAGCTCCTCATCTTCTTCTTCATCTTGTTCCACCACAGGCGGTGAGTTACCCTGGGGTCGTCCATTAGATAATGGCTCAGGGTTGCCAAGGGTCCTCCTGTCACCATGGTCCTGCCGTTCTCTAATGTCATTCTAAAAGCACAAGAAAAACTTTCTCAATAATCATACTATCAGCCAAATCAAGGTATTCTATATCAAAAGCAGAAAATGTAACAATTAGACCCAGGATTAATAATAGGTCCATCATTACTAACGTTCTAAAAACTTGAGGGAAGAAAGAACCAATTTATAGGAAGCAAGAGTTTTAAAAGTCTAGATGGTAAATACCATTATTCCCCAAACACACTGATGTCCTCCCTTTTTTCTGGGCCTTGGCTTATGCTCCCCTTTCATTCTCAGCTTAATACAATTGTGCTCATCCTTTGAAGTTTGGATGAAATACTGATACCTACATGAAACCTTGTTTTTATTTGTTATAGCTATAGGCAGAGTAACTGTACTTTTTTCAGATTCATTTTGTAGCCTCTAACTATGGTTTCATACCAATAATAACTATCTTACCCTCCTTATTAATAGGACTTTAAAATCTTTGTAGTGATGTTCAAGGGATCTCTCTGTATTATTTATTACAACTGCATATAATGCCACAATTACTTCAAAAATTTATGCAATTAAAAAAATCCTGACAGAGAGAAACCAAGACTTATACAATTCTGATGGCCTGTATCTTTATCTTCCCCAGCCCCCAATCAGGCCCCCATATTGTAAGACAACAATAAATACTTATGAATAAATGAATGCAAGTTTCCTCAGAACTTTAATCCAAACATGACTTCATTAGTTTTATCCTTACCTTTTTCTATTCTTTAAATTCAACTTCCTTTATTGATGTCACTGTTCATACGTGAAAATTCAGTTTTTGTAAAGGGTAGGATGACTATATAAGACAGTAACAATAATAAAAGTAATACGTAAGTTAAAAAAAACAGCAATCTTCCCTCTCTTGGGTAAGAATATAGAATAGGGGAAGAAAGTAGACTGACAGTCACTGTTGCTGGTCAAATTATTTTAAATTAGGGTTCTGGTAGGAAGATCATTTGAGAACAAGCCACTTTCACACGTCTTTTATGACTATATAACTATGTATTATTGTAGAGTATCACTATGTATTACTGTAGAGTATTACTATTACTCATTAAAAATACATTTCACATTTAATAATAGCTTATAATGGCTACAAGGCACCAGGACTGTGATACATGCTTTAACTTTGATTCTCACAGTCACCCCATCATTATCACTTTATAGGTGAGAAAACAGTCACAGTTAGTGAGTGTTATCAAGAGAGTTTAACCCAGGTTCGCCTGACTCCAGAAATCAAGTTCTTAACCACTTTTTAATTTGCCATTCACAAGAAAATGGGAACCTTGAAGACCCAGTGTAGGCTGAGGGTTCTCTTTGATTTCACTTTGAGTATATTCATCCCCCAAGTAATTATCAAAATTTTCCTATATTCCAGGTACTCTGCTATGGTAATACTGAAATTAATAGGATCTAGACCCTGCTCTTAAAAAGTTCATAAGTTATTTTTATTTATTTTTGAGGCAAGGTCTTGCTCTGTCACTTGGGCTAACATAAAATGGCATCATCATAGCTCACAGCAACCTCAAACCCTTGGGCTCGAAAGATTTTCCTGCTTCAGCCTCCTGAATATCAGGGACTACAGATTGTATGCTACCATACCTGGCTAATTTTTCCTTTTTTTTGTAGAGCTGAGGTCTGACTCTTAGTTAGGCTGATCTCAAACTCTTGGCCTCAACCAATCCTCCCATCTCAGCCTTCCAAAGTAGTAGTATTACACAGGTGTGAGCTTAGCCCAAAAAGTTAGTTTTGGAAGCAGGGTGTAAAGAATTTTAGACTTTA